GATGTTATAAATTAATAAATTTATTAATTATAAATAAATTATATCATATATTTTCGCTGTATATTAATTAAGGTTAAATTGTGGGATTATAGAAGTGCAAGACTGATCAGTATTTAGAGGAAGCAAGTACTAGACGTGAGTAAGACAAGCTGGAACGCAAGAACCTGTAGGTTGAGGCTTGCAAGACTTTAGCTATTGTAGGTATTGGAGAAAAGACATGATGGCATAAGTGACTAGGAAATAACCTGATGCCCTAAGATAATGGGAAAAGAAGAACTAAGTGATAATATTGCACAAAATTACCCAGAAGATTAATATTATATCATAAAAATGCCGTAAAAACACGCCTGTCTCAGACATATGTCTTAATCACAGGATACAGGTTGTGCATCAATGATAATGAGAAGAATGGGAACTTACCCATCCTATAGAAAATTGTGGTCCCTTAAGTTTCCAGGGGACGCAGAACAATAAGAGAAAAAAGGGTGGACAATTTTATGGACATGCACAGAATGTAGGTATAGGCAGAATCCCATTATAAAAAAGGGAATGCGCAGAGTGGGAAATCTGAGCTCCCGATGGAAGACTCCAGCAGGAACCATCCCTCTACTGATGATCGAACTATGAGAGACCCATCATAGAATCATAGAATATAAGGGTTGGAAGGGACCCCTGAAGGTCATCTAGTCCAATCCCCTGCTCGAAGCAGGACCAATTCCCAGTTAAATCATCCCAGCCAGGGCTTTGTCAAGCCTGACCTTAAAAACCTCTAAGGAAGGAGATTCTACCACCTCCCTAGGTAACGCATTCCAGTGTTTCACCACCCTCCTCATGAAAAAGTTTTTCCTAATATCCAATCTAAACCTCCCCCACTGCAACTTGAGACCATTACTGCTCGTTCTGTCATCTGCTACCATTGAGAACAGTCTAGAGCCATCCTCTTTGGAACCCCCTTTCAGGTAGTTGAAAGCAGCTATCAAATCCCCCCTCATTCTTCTCTTCTGCAGGCTAAACAATCCCAGCTCCCTCAGCCTCTCCTCATAACTCATGTGTTCCAGTCCCCTAATCATTTTTGTTGCCCTTCGCTGGACTCTCTCCAATTTATCCACATCCTTCTTGAAGTGTGGGGCCCAAAACTGGACACAGTACTCCAGATGAGGCCTCACCAATGTCAAATAGAGGGGAACGATCACGTCCCTCGATCTGCTCGCTATGCCCCTACTTATACATCCCAGAAATGCCATTGGCCTTCTTGGCAACAAGGGCACACTGCTGACTCATATCCAGCTTCTCGTCCACTGTCACCCCTAGGTCCTTTTCCGCAGAACTGCTGCCTAGCCATTCGGTCCCTAGTCTGTAGCGGTGCATTGGATTCTTCCATCCTAAGTGCAGACCCTAACACTATTGTTAAGGATGGGAATAGAACTATATTGTAACTGGTGCATAGGTCTGTATAGACTTTCTATATATGCTTGGTTAACTGTAACTTTAATTGTAACTTTAATGAAACTTATAGAGTAGACGAGGCCTTGTACTGATGAATGTATGTGTGGTCACTACCTTTGGTCTTTATGTGTTCCTAGAGACTCTAAATTTAAAGCAAGCAGCAGAGGTGACTTTCACTCTGTTAAGCTTGAAACTGGAGTCACCAGAGCTGAAGCCACGGTGGTGTAAAACCACATTACAACATTTACTTTAAATAAAATAAAAGGCTACAAAATCAATTTTTCCTGTTATTATTTCCATCCATCTGCACAATGAATTTTGATAGGTACACCGATATTGAGGTAATTTGCAGCTGTGCGTCACCAGTAGAAACAAAATGCCTAGATATAATATATTTTTTAAAAGTTATCCTTGGGCTAATTACTCCAGCCAGGACAGGTTAGGTATTTTAGAACTCACTCACTATTCAAAGAATTACATTTTAAAGTAAGAGAGAAATATAATTTTGAAATGCACAGACCAGTCAAAAACCTAAAACAGGACTTGGAAAGAATAAAATTACAGAGCATAGATGTGCATTGCAGGAAATATGAAGAAGTAAGAACAACACCACATGTATGCATTGCGACATGACTGTGAAAGAGGCAGAATGTGTGTGCATGTGAGATGAGACTCTGTGTGTGTGAGAGAAAGAGAGAGAGACACACACAGGCTATGTGTGTGTGAGACTGAAACAGAGTGGGTGTGTGCTGGCTTGCAGTGAGAGACCATGCTCTGTCTCTGTCATAAAAATAAAGGGAAGGGTAAAACCCCTTTAAAATCCCTCCTGGCCAGAGGAAAAATCCTCTCACCTGTAAAGGGTTAAGAAGCAAAGATAACCTCGCTGGCACCTGACCAAAATGACCAATGAGGAGACAAGATACTTTCAAAAGCTGGGAGGAGGGAGAAAAACAAAGGGTCTGGGGCTGTCTGTGTGATGCTTTTGCTGGAGACAGAACAGGAATGGAGTCTTAGAACTTAGTAAGTAATCTAGCTAGGTATGTGTTAGATTATGATTTCTTTAAATGGCTGAGAAAATAGCTGTGCTGAATAGAATGAATATTCCTGTCTGTGTGTCTTTTTTGTAACTTAAGGTTTTGCCTAGAGGGATTCTCTATGTTTTAAATCTAATTACCCTGTAAGGTATTCACCATCCTGATTTTACAGAGGTGATTCCTTTACTTCTGTTAAAAGTCTTCTTGTAAGGAAACTGAATGCTTTTTCATTGTTCTAAGATCCAAGGGTTTGGGTCTGTGGTCACCTATGCAAATTGGTGAGGATTTTTACCAAACCTTCCCCAGGAAGTGGAGTGCAAGGGTTGGGAGGATTTTGGGGGGAAAGACGTGTCCAAACTCTGTTTTTTCAGGAACCCAGGTAAAGTTTGGTGGTGGCAGTGGAAATCCAAGGGCAAAGAGTAAAATAATTTGTACGTTGGGGAAGTTTTAACCTAAGCTGGTAAAAGTAAGCTTAGGAGGTTTTCATGCAGGTCCCCACATCTGTTCACATCTAGAGTTCGGAGTGGGGAAGGAAACTTGACAGTCTCTTTAAGCACTGCGGCACTCACCAGTCTGAAGGCTCATTCAGATCACAGTAGCTGCCAGCACCTCCATCCCCCTCCTGAGCCCTTCCCTCCCTCCCCCACTCTGTGGAGATGGGGTACATGGATGGGGGAGGGGACACCCTGACATCAGCACCCCCTCCCTCCCTCTGCACAGCAAGCAGGAGGGTCCCAGGAGCAGCTGGCCAGGGGCTTCAAGGCAGAGGGCAGGAGCAGGGTGGCAGCAGACCAGCGCGGGGAGGGGCATCTAAACCCAGGTTGCCAGATGTGCAGAGCTGTACTGAGGAAGTACCCGGCCCTTGACTGACATGTGCGCAGCTGCATAGCTTAGAGGGAACACAGGTTTGGGTCTCACATGCTGGACTCATGTGCTTTTGAGTTGCAGCAGCATCCAGGCCCTGCCTCTGGGTTTCTAGGCCCATCCTCGGGGAGCAGCTTCCATTCTAGCATCACCCTGTCCAGCACAGGGCGTGTGTGTAGGGGAAGGACATACGTAACCTCAGGGCCTCCATAGCCAGAGTCTATATTCTCACCCTGTTAACAGGGCAATGAGGCCTAATGGGCAAAGTCCGTGTATTCACCCCTATTAGCAGGGCAGTAAGACCTAGTGGCCAAGATCAATGTTTTCCACTGTCCATGGGGTAGTAAGGCCTCATGGCCAAGTGTTCTCTATCAGGGAAAGGGACTGCCTTGCACAAAAAGAGGGGTGGTGCTGGTCTGGGTTAGGGGGCCCGGGTTAGCACTCCCTCCATTCTGGTCCCCAGATATAAAACCGTAACAGGGTTCTGAGAAGAAGCAAAAAAGAACTAGATAAGTTCATGGAGGATAGGTCCATCAATGGCTATTAGCCAGGATTGTCAGGGATGGTGTGCCTAGCCTCTGTTTGCCAGAAGCTGAGAATGGGTGATAGGGTATGGATCACTTGTTGATTACCTGTCTGTTCATTCCCTCTGGGCTAGATGGACCTTTGGTCTGATCCTCTATGGCTGTTCTTATATTCTTATAAGTTCATGGAGGATAGGTCCATCAATGGCTATTAGCCAGGATGGGCAGGGATGCAACACCATGTTCTGTATGACTCTAAACTCTGTTTGCCAGAAGTTGGGAAAAGGAACCGGGGATGGATCACTTGATGATTCCCTGTTCTCTTTATTCCCTCTCAAGCACATGGCATTGGCCACTGTTGGAAGACAGGATACTGAGCTCATTGGACCATGGGCCATTCTGATGTTCTTATATAGAACCCAGATTTATCTGCCCCCTTCCCCTGCTGTAATCCACTAGACCCATTTCCACTCTCAGAGCTGAGATAGAACCCAGGGTGGGTCTCTCTCTCCACGGACTTAGTAACAAATAAAGAATATACATTAAAATTGTAAACCTAACCAGTGGCTCTCAAGTGACTTGCCACAAGATATCAGAACATGTTAGTAATAGAGCTGACTGGGTCTAATATTACTTTATTTTTCTTTCTTTTATACAAGAATTAGATACAGTGCTCCTGTCAGCTAATTGCTAAGTTACCTGCCAAAAAAAATGAAAGTTTTCAAGAGCCTAGCTACTCTTTCTATTCACAGTTAAAGTTGCCCTCCAACCAAAATCTGAAATGGTGCCCCTGCAGCTGGCGGGGGGTGGTGAAGAGGTTTGAGGGAGTGATGGGGATGGGAGTAAAGGAGAGAAGAACAGGGATGCAGCCTTGGGGGAAAAGGCAGGGCAGGGGGTGGGGCCTCCGAGTTCCAGTTACCAGCAATTAAAAAGGTGGCATTCCTGTGAGTTAATGAGTAGATCACAGACCAACTCCCCAGTTTATCACACTGGCACAGCATAATAAGTCAGGAAAGGATTTAATGTCTCTTTAACTGCCCAGTCAGTGATGCAGGAAAGAGGGCCCAGCACCATGTCACCAGTCAGCTCTGCACGGAGCTCTGTCTGAGAGCCAGAGCAACAGGGGAAAACTTTAGGTCCCATTATGAATAACGAGCCAGAGCAGCCACTTCCAGATCTGTTCGGTCCTTATCCCATAGATGATGGGGTTTAGCATGGGAGGCACCAGGAGGTACACACTGGCAATGACAACGTGAAACCATAGGGCCACATTGTAGCCAAAACAGTATGTGAGGGAGGAGAAGATAACTGGGATGTAAAAGGTTAACATGGCACAGAGGTGGGAGACACAGGTCCCCAAAGTCTTGAGTCTTGAGTCATCCTTTGTGGGGAGGCTAAAGATGGCCCTGAGGATAAGAATATAGGACACGGTGATAAAAAACACATCCAGACCAATCACAGAGAATAGCACAAAGAGGCCGTAGTAACTACTAACACGGGTTTCAGTGCAGGCCACCTTCACCACAGCTATGTGCTCACAGTACGTATGTGGGATGATGTTGGTTCTGCAATATGGCCACCGCCTTGTCAGGAAGGGATAGGGCAGTACCAGCATGTCACCGCAGAGCACTATGGCCAGGCCGGTCTTGAACACCATGCAGTTTGCCATGGTGGTGAAATGTCTGAGGGGATCACAGATGGCCACATAGCGATCCACTGCCATGGCCGCAAAGATCCCAGACTCCATCACTGAGAAGCAGTGAATGAAGTACATCTGGGTGAGGCAGACCCTGAAATCAATCTCCCTGGAATTGAACCAGAAGATGCTCAGCACTTTGGGCAGGGTGGATGTGAACAGGACCAGGTCGGTGATGTCCAGCATGCAGAGAAAATATTACATGGGCTCATGGAGGCTCTGCTCCCTCTTCACGATGAACAGGATGGCGAAGTTCCCCAAAATGGCTGTGGCGTACATGGCGCAGAAGGGGATGGAGATCCAGACGTGGGCTGCCTCCATGCCAGGAATGCCCAGCAGGATGAAGGTGGAGGGGTTGGTGAACCTTGTTGTGTTGGAATCTGACATGAGAACCCAAGGTCTAGGGTGATGGTTGCAAAACAAATGTCTGGATGGAGAGACAGTGTTAATGTGGGCAGTTGTCTCTAGGCGTCAACGAGTCTGTCTGGTAAAGTGCTGACAGAAAAGCACATGGAAGCCCGAAACCACAAGCTTGCAGGTGTTAAAGAGCTAAGTGCTCTAGTCTGTCTGGTAAGAGCTGACAGACTAAAGTCCTGTGACATAAGCACACAGAAACCTGCAAAATCTACCAGACTCAAATACTCAAAACAGATTCTTATATGGCAACAAAAGGTCGTGGCAGAGGCAAACATAAATAGGGGCGAAGAATTAATAGGATATATAAGGAACAGCTTTTTGGCCAGGACCAAGACCAGAACTGCTCACCTAGGTAATGAGGAGAGCTAATGCTTACATTAAAGGGGAAATGCAAAGACACCTCATGGCTCACTCCTCATGGTTAGGGAGGAGAGGAAAGGGTCGTACAGCTTACAAGCTTTCAAGCATCTCTAATTAAATAAACGGTGATCACAGACTGAACGGTCCTGATTCTGGAATCGATCCTTCCCTCTCTGTCAAATTTACCCGCAACAGTTAATAATGAGATACTAAATACACTACTGGAGGCTGTTCTCATGGGTGAAGAAATTGGTCCTTCTTTACACACTTAAAAATGACTTTTTTTATTATTCAGAGAGATGAGTTATGAACAACTGACCCTACTAATGCTAATTCCATATTTGATGGTGCTACATGCATAAATAATTCCTACACTTTCTGGTGTGGAAAAGCTTAATTGGCACCAGCAGGAAACACAGGTGTGATACTGGTTTTCCCTCACTTCTCACTAGTGGGCAAAAGAAAGACAATGATTGGTTATCTAAAGAATGGGATGGAGAATAACCTGCTTTGGAAACACATTCATTTTTGGTCACTCATTCTCTATAAACCATATAGAAGGTATAAAGGGGTTTCCAAGACAGGCTATGAGAATGGGGAATACTGCCATATGCAGACAGACTGAAAAGTCTGGGACTGTTTAGTTAAGAAAAGGGGGGCATATTATAGAGGAGAACAAAAGAAAAGAATGGAGCTGATTACATTCAAAAGGACAAACAGAGAAGAGTGCTCAAACAGTAATTTCTATAGACACATAGTGCTTCAAAAACTAATACCCCAAAGATGAGGGAAATTATCAGCAAAACTCATTGGGAAGAATAGTTTAGACAGAAAATTGGAAATGAAAATGTGGAGTTCCTTAAGAAGCGTGTATTTGATAGCAAAAATGCCAACGATTACACAGTCAAGAAAGCAGACAAGTTGGGCTAAAAACCCAGTTCAATGGCAAAGTGAAGGCACCAGGTGGGAAGAGGGGAAGCAATATATAACAAATGGGGAAAAGAGAAAATAGATCGCAACAAAAAGGGATTACAGATAGCAAGCAATAGAAAGTGGAAGTTCTGAAAATTGATAAGGGACAAAAAGACCTCAGAGTAAAATCCATGCGTGGCAAGGCTAAGGATGACAAAACAACGGTTATTAAGTATACTAAGAAGAAATAAATCCTAGAAAAAAATTAGGTCAATTACAAGAGGGAGAAAAGAAACTTGTTAAGGTTGCAGAAAAGGAAGATGTATTCAAGAAATATTATTGTCTGCATTTGGAAAGAAGCAGCATGAGGTATTCATATCACATTAATTGATGAAATACTTTCCAGTCCATTAGCACTGAAGTCACAGGAGCAAAGGATGAAGGAACTGGGCATATTTAGTCAGGAAAAGGTAAGATGTGGGGGGGGGCATGATAGCGGTCTTCAAATGCATGAAAAGCTCCAATAAACAGATGGAGAAAAGTTAGACTGTCTCACCACGGTGGAAAGGACAAGAGGAAATGAATTCAAACTACAGCATAGCAGAGATAGTTTAAATCTGAAGAAAAAAATCCTAAGTACAAGAACAGGAGGACAATGGAACAGATGCTTTGGGAGATTGTGGAAGATTTTATGCTAGAGGTTTTCCAAAGGATGCTGGATAGCCATCTGTCTTGGATGGATGAAAAGCAACAAATCTTGCCTCTTTGTAGGGGGCCAGACTAGCTAAGCTTCTCACCTTGTGGATCTTCAATTTAACGATGTAAAATCCTACTGTGGACCAGGTCTTAGTCAAGCAGAAGTTATGAAACTCAATACAGTGTTAATGGGGTGAAATTAAATTGCCTGAGTTATGCAGGAGGTCAGACTGGATGACGTAATCGTCCTTTCTGACCATAAACTCTATGAATCTATTAATAAAGGAAGTAGATCAGGCATTTATATTTACTGTGTCTCATAACACACGAACAAGGGAACATTAAATTCTATTGAAAGTCTGAATATACAACAGTTAGCAAAGAAATGTGTTTATATAGTCCATATCTGGCCTGTAGAACTCTTTGCCACTGACAATCCTGGAGCGAAGAGCTGAGCTGAATGGGATTCAGAAATGGATTAGCATTGTCGGTGGTGCTGGTAGCATCCCTTAGTTAAGTCTGTCTGACACCTTCACTTAGAAGACCTGATTCTGAGTTGCTTATATGCTTGTCAAACTGTAACTGTTTGGACTAAAATTTCCCATTCTGGCTTTCTGCTTCCGGATGAATTGTTTCTTTGAATGTTTCAGGCATAGGAGTTCAGCCAACTTCTTGAATGAAGCTAGGAGAAAATATGTCTTGCACATGATGAAAAATTCTTATAATTCTTCCAGTGAGGAGCCCTGGCACCTCCATGCTTTCCAGCAGATAAAAGTCAGTTAGCAGATCAGAGCTAGAGCCCTAAGATGCAAGAACAGAAGGTGACAGTCTCTGTGCATGAACACACAGCAGACTCCTGTGGTCTTTTTTTCAGTTATTACTCCAAGAGGAGTTTTGCCTCTGTGGGGCCTGACCAAAGTATGGGCCACAGACTAAGAATTTGTCCTTCTATTGTTCATCTGGTGGACAGAAAGCTGGTTAGATTGTTGGGCTCAGTGGGTAGTCATCAACAGCTTGATGTCTAGTTGGCAGCCGGTATCACATGGAGTGCCCTGGGGTCAGTCCTGGGTCCAGTTTTGTACAACATTTTTATTAATGATCTGGATGATGGGATGGATTGCACCCTCAGCTAGTTTGCACATGACACTAAGATGGGGGGAGAGGTAGATACACTGGAGAGTAGGGATTGGGCCAAAGTGACCTAGACATACTGGAGGATTGGGCCAAAAGAAATCTGATGAGGTTCAACAAGGACAAGTGCAGAGTCCTGCGTTTAGGTAGGAAGAATCTCATGCACCGCTACAGGGTTGAGACCAACTGGCTAAGCAGCAGTTCTGCCGAAAAGGACCTAGGGGTTACAGTAGACTAGAAGCTGGGTATGAGTCAGCAGTGTGCCCTTGTTGCCAAGAAGGATAACGGCATATTGGGCTGCATTCATAGGAGCATTGACAGCAGATCGAGGGACGTGATTACTCCCCTCCACTCAGTACTGGTGAGGCCACCCCTGGAGTATCCCCCCACCACAGAAGGGATGTGGACAAATTGGAGAGAGTTCAGCGGAGGGCAACAAAAATGACTAGGGGGCTGGGGCACATGATTTACGAGGAGAGACTGAGGGAACTGGGGCTATTTAGCTGCAGAAGAGAAGAGTGAGGGGGGATTTGATAGCAGCCTTCAACTACCTGAAGGGGGGTTCGAAAGAAGATGGAGCTCTGCTGGTCTCAGTGGTGGCAGATGACAGAACAAGGAGCAATGGTCTCAAGTTGCAGTGGGGGAGGACTAGGTTGGATATTAGGAAACACTATTTCATGAAGAGGGTGGTGAAGCACTGGAATGGGTTACCTAGGGAGGTGGTGGAGGTCTGTGCAATCCCAGTGAGGTTCGCTCAGCCTCTAGCAGAGAAGCTGCATCTGGATGTAAACAGGCAGGAGACCAGGGACACTCTAGCCAATGTCTCTGTTTCCATGTCTGTGCTTCTGTGTTCTTTATCCAGCTTTAGAAGTAAATGGTAATTAAGGGACCTTCCCAAAGGGAGATGAGAATATTCAGGCTCTGTGCTGAGTCAGAGAGGAATTGGCTGCTCTGTTTGTTTAAAAATGACAGTTGAGTAGTCAGAAAAGTAGGGATCATGCCTAGATCTCCCTGGGGTCTGATACCCTGTAAATGCCCAAGATGGATAGGTAGATAGTACACAGACAGATCAGGAATAAAAATGACTGAGGGGAGACTATTGCTAAGGGATCAGACATCAACAAATCTCATCAGTAACTATCATCATACTAAGCAGCAAATAGAAAGCAGATTTATTAAGTACAGAAGGATAGATTTTAAAGTCACTGTAAGTATTATTAACTACAAAAAGATGGATTTTAAGTGATTATAAGTAACAGCATACAGCTCAAAGTTTGTTACCTAAGAAATAAACAAAATTACAATGTAAGATCTATAAACTAGACAGGATTTGAATCAAGACGTGTCTCACCCAGATGGTACAAGCAGTCCACCAATCATCCATAGACAGGTAAGTAACCCCTTCATCCCTGGACCATATCCCCAGTTCAGTCCTTGTTCCTAAGGTGTTCCCAGGAGTTGAGTTGTGGGGGGAGTGAGGCCAAGTGATGATATCACTTCCACCTTTCATACTCCTGCAATGGGGAGGGAACTTCATTTTTCTAAACAAAAGTCATCAGCACAGTTACTGGAAAAGTAAAGGAACAAGATGGAGTCCAGTGTCCCATGAGCTGGTCACATGCCCTTGCATGCTTTCATAAAGTTAGGTACAGAAATGACACACACATACA